CCCTCCTTTCATTAGTGGTTACCCTTACCAGATTTCAGTAGTAAATCAGCATTTTGCTTAAATTACTCAGGTATATCAACACAGGCTTTTACAACGTTAAATATCATATTTTCAGTAACACATTTAACATTGTCTCCCCACTGTACAGAGAACTGCACAGTGGGAAGTCTCTCTCCAAATACATAGCAGGTTCCTCAACTGGGGTCACTTTATACTAGAGGTGACAGCAGACACTTTTTCCACTGACCCTTGCAGGTAACCACAGACTTCTGAGTGGCCTGGTTACCTTGTGCTGTATCAAGGGACACTTAGAGAAAGCATGCCCCCACTTACTGTACCACAAACAGTGTACTTCTTCCATGTCTCATCAGGGTTTTCCAAGCGGCATCTCCCTGCATGCTAAAGCACACTTGCATCTTTCTAGGGCCACGAAACCATACCTTCTACGGCGCTTTTGTCTCTCAGCATAGCAAGCTCCCCTATTGCTGTGGGAGATAGCTTTTCTTCAATTGAAGTTTGCTGGTGTTCCCAGTCATACAGAATATGAAGTTTCTTACTAAACTTTGCAGACAGCCAAAGTTCCTTTTGTGGTACTCATCACCATCTTTTTTTCATACACACATAAATCCTGTGTGGTTCTTCCACTAAGAGGGGTGTTAGGTATCTCTCCCATCTTTCTTCATGCCATGCCTCTTGCACAACAACTGGCTCAAAGTTATTTAGGAAGTCTTTTACATAATCTTCCTGACTCTTTGTCCACACAGACCCACAGTCTCTCACAGACCCACAGAGACTCAACCTTTGTCTCTCTCAGGCGAATGCTTGGTCAGAATGCCTGTCACTCAGGCCATAAGCCAAACACACCCGGGTTGTGTTTCTATATGCCTGTTGCTCCCAGCAGCGTTCACCCTGTTTGTTAGCATGTATTTGCCCGAACTTTATTCATGTACCCTTACTGTGTGTGCCTGCACTTACTGTGTACATGTTGTGGCAGCAGGCTGATAAAAACATCTGGGTGTAGCCCGGGTGGCATAGATTTATGCCTTAGATTCAGATGTTATACTGAAGGTTGTCTTCTAGGGGGAAGTGTTGAGAGGGCTGGAGACTTGGAGGAGCAAGCTGGCTTGTTAGGGCCTCTATAAGATCTCCCAGCCTTCTAAGGGAGTAGCTCCACCCTGGAACCAGTCTGTGTGTCTGGCGGACTGGGCAAGAGATCACCTGTGTGGTAAAAGACGAGCCTGTGTGGCAAGCGTGTTGAAAACAGGCTGTGTGGGAAAGGATTTTTTTAGAGACAACCTGAAGTTGGTGAGATTTTGTTATTTTGCTGAAGGAAAAAGCTGAACTTTGTGTTTAAAATGTTGGCGTAACCCCTGTGAGGGAAAAACTTTTGAGAACTCTTTAAATAAAAGTGGGCAGGAAGCTCTAAAAATAAGTTGTTTGCTAGTGGAAGTGCCCTTATTGCACTACCATTTGAAGCTAATTGTCACAATGTACCTCAACTGTGTAAGCTTGCATTGGCCTCAACTGAGCGTGTATCTGCCTCAACTGTGTGAACGTATGTCTTCTAGTGTGAAGACGCGCTGTAGGCAGTGTGGACACCTGTACTTACTGTACACATGTATCCCAACTGTGTGAGTGTGCGTCCACCCCAACTGTATGAGTGAGCATCTGCCCCAACTCTGTGAGCTAGGATCTGGCACTCTTTGTGGTCTAAACTAAAGTGGCCCACAGCCTACATTTCATTAGCAAACGTATGAGTCTTTGCAGTGGCGGACCTAAGGAACAAAGGGCCCCACCCCCCTAAAAAACACAAACGCAGCGCCAGCAGGCTGTCACTTTCTCGCCTCCCCGCTGGGACACAGAGCAGCGCCCAGCGGGGATGAAAAAAAGCACGGATGCGCCGCTGTATCAGCAGAAAAATGGCACTTTCGGCATTTAGCCAAAAGTGCCATTTCTGGCCGATATCTTTTGGCGGCCGATATATCGGTGCATCCCTAATATTTATAGCAATGCAGAATGGCACAGGCTATAGAGGACTACACATCCCAGCAATACTTAATATAACAATAGCATTTCTGTATAAAGTACTGCTGAGATTTGTAGTCCTGCGGGCCCCCCATCTCTGCGCCGGGAGTGTCGGATGAACGGATGATCCGACACTCTTGGCGCAGAGATGGGGGGGCCGCTGGGTACCTATCCGGTGCTGGGACTGTGCTGGGCCCCCCCAGGCCGAGGCCCTGGTGCGCCCGCACCGGCGATAGTTCCGCCACTGAGTCTTTGTAGTTATTCTGAAGCTCACTCAAGTTCAAAGAAGAAGAGAAGTGGACATATAGCATTCTAAAGGAGAAAGGTTGTTGGTGGTGGGGGTACGGTACTGAGGAGGAGAGCAGTGGGAAATTGTTGCATGCGCCCTGAGGGTATAGAATGCATACAGAAAGCACCCAGTACTGTGGACTGGAACCAGGAGATGGACTGGTTGACGTTAACGTGTTTCCGGGGCACGCCCCCTTCATCAGAACTGTTCTGTTAACGTAACTCGTACACAGGAACCCCCCAGTGGATGTCCATCTGCTTGCCAGCTTTCACTTTATGGCTGTTTTTTACTTATGTTTGTGAGTACCTTTATGTTTTTATATGACCATTGAAAATAAATTTGACCTGCACCAGGAAAGGCGCCCCCTATGTCTTCTCTTCCTAGAATGTAAAAAAACACATGGCCAAACAAATGAAAGGAAAAAAAAAAGCATGACCAAATGAATGTAAAAAAACATATGGCAAAAGACAGACCCTATTAAGCATTAGAAGTAAAATAATTCAGATCAAACTCCGCATTTAAGCCATGAGGTTTTAATGTGCCAGCTTTAAAGATCCACTGAGTTTCATTTTTAGCTAATTCCCGTCGCCAATTACCCCCTCCAGTGTCTGAAGACTTTCTCCATTCCCCAAAAAGACAACAGACTGGGATCTTTGTGATGTCAATCCTAAAAGTGTTTATATATATGTATATATATATATATATAAAATATTTGATATTATATACGTGTTCCTTAATCCTAATCCCCAATTTTCTAGTGGTGTGGCCAATGTACTGTAGTACACAAGGACATTCTAAACCATACACCACTACCTCCGTATCGCAAGAAATAAACTCTCCGATTTCCACTTGTGTGCCACTAGTATTGATCTGAAAATGTTTTCTTAATTTAATATTGTTGGGGAAATGTCTGCAGGACTATAAAGTCTGCTTCAGAGTACGGCTCATGTGGTTTGTACACGTTCCATTGCATTGTTTGGATTCATTATCTGCACCGCATTGTTTGATTTTTTTTTTTTGGACTTTATCTCACTGTGCTTGTTATGTGGATTGAGTTCAGCCTATAATCATTGTTGCATGTTTTACTGTTTTATATTTGATTGTTTCTTCAGCTCGTCATATTATTGCATGTATGTTTTGTATTATATCAGATATAATTTTAGTGCTTAGTAAATCTTTTTCCCTTTTTTTGCATCATCACTGGCGCAGATCTTTTTAAAAAATCTTTTATTTTATCTGTATGCCCTTTTATTAACCCATTTCAACTGTTTTACTTCTCAGGTATCTCAATAATATTATTGAAAATCCAAATGAGGAGAAGTATTGTGCTGTTAGAATCTCCAACAAAATTTTTCAGGTAAAAGCTGGGATTTTGGGCAAAGTCCTTTATGCCGTAATTTTAGCTTTTTAGTTAATTTGTGTATTTTTTGTTTATAATTATTTGTAGGAAAAAATTAACTGTTTAGAAGGATCACTTGAATTTTTTGAGGCAGTTGGATTTGAGAAGAAGACACTACCTTTGCCTGGACAAGGTCAGATATTTTCCTTTCTTCAAAGGCAATCACATTTTTACTATGCAAGAAAATTTAAAAAATGTCAAAGCTTCTATTTAATCTTATATGTGTGTATCATCTAATTCTAACCTATTAGATGTGGAAGATGAATTCTATGTACTGAGCAGTGAAGCATTAAAAAATCTGAACGACTTGCAAGGGTACCGGGATTCATTGTTAAGTGGAAAGCCTATTCGAGCCACTCTCGAGAGGCAGCCTAGAATCTTTGCACCATCACTTCAAGCTACCAGATTTTCTTTAACTGATGATTTCTACAACCTAACAGTACAGGAGATCAAACAACAGCACCAACTAAGGTACGTTGCACCAACTGCATGCAATTTAAGTATCATTAGCTTTTGTCAAGATACCGTGCACAGGTGCCCCACACTGTGTGCAGGTATCTATACGGGAGGACCAAATACTCGACCACACCAAACAAGGCTATGAACTGTGGAAGCCACAGATCAAGAGACCTCAGGGGGGAAGGAGTCGGGGTCCAAAGAGGCTACAGGATACAAGACACAGGACTCATGCAACAGGATACAGGTTAGGGCAACAATACTGTGGCAAAATCCCCACTGCAGGGAGGGATTAAATACCCTTCCAGGTAACACCAGATGGTGATTAATTGCACAGACACCTGCAGGTGAGCCCTGGAGCTGCAAGTCCCGGTTCCAGTGTCACAGCGCCACCTGGAGGTGCTCAAGTCCCAGACAGCCACTGACTGCCCAGAGACACCTGCAGATGAGCACAGGAACTGCAGGACCAAGTTCCAGCACCACCTGAAGGTGCTCTGGTCCCTGACGGTTTTATTGGCTCTAAAATTTACATGAAAAAGTCTTACTTTTCTTTCCAAAAAATGTGTTAGTTTTATTTCACTTCTGATCCATTTTACCCACACATGCCATTGAAAAGAAAACTTTTCAATTTCCAATTTCTGAATCGGTTGCTTATAAAATACCATCTGATTTTCAACTTCCACAATAATAGACACAAAACCTGCTTAAACTAACAACACACAAAGGATTGTCTTGTTTTTGTATCTTTTATTGAACATATTTATCCCTTCAGATAACAGCTATTTTTTCCAGAGTTCCGTGAATTTCCCTGCTTTTCCTCTATGCCAAAATAATAACCTTTCCCTTTCCAACATTGTATTAACCATTTTAATTCAGTGCTTATACATAGGTGGACTAGGTGAGATCCATTTCTCTACTATCAGTTTTCTAGCCATAAACAACAACCTAGTGATGGACAATTTCTGAGATCTTGTGCCCAAGTCCTCTGGCAGAATTCCCAGAGCACAAATACTCGGGTCCATCTCCAGGTTAATTGAATATAAAGTATTTTATTTATCACTTTAATTATATTCTTCCAATATCTAAATAATTTAGGACAGTGCCATAATAAGTGTATTCATGTGCCTTCTAAATGTCCACACCTTCTACAAGAGGGATCTTGCATATAACCCCATTGAAATAATTGTTTTGGTGTGCGGTATGTCTGGTGTAGAATAAATAATTGTGTCAATCTATGTGCAGTCGAAAGTGAACAGCTTGGGACTATTTTAATAGCTTTTTCCCATTCTATCTTACTCAACTCCCCAATATCCTGGTGCTATCCCTTCTGCCCTCGAAAAACTACATTACTTCTATCCCCCTTTAACAATTTGTGATAAATTTTTGCTACAATACCTTGTTTTCCACCCTTAGCTTGGGCTAACAGGTTCATCCAGGGGGGGGTGTTGCATATAATTTCCGATATGCGGTTCTGCATCTGCAGTGCATGACGTAATTGCAAATACTGGTAAAAACATGATTTTTGTAGCTTATAGTGCGTTTGTAACTCTGAGAGTTTTAATTGTTGTACCTTCGTAAACTTAGTGTATATATTTCAGCCCATTTTGTTCCCAATTTCCAAACCCAGTCAGCGTATGTACTTCCTGCAACTTAGAATTGTGCCATAAAGGTGTATAACTTGTATACTCCCTGTGTTGCGTATTTATCTTAATAGACACCCCAGGGAGGGATGAGAGACTCCATGGATCCCCGCTTGTAAGGGTGTGTGGCAGCGGGGATCCGTAAAAAAAATCACCGGCGGGAGGGTCGGGGGAGCGAGCGGCGGCAGGCCGCAATTTTTTTTATTCTACTGGGCCTGCGCTTTCAGAAAATATATGGTTTGGGGGGTCTTTTACAAACGCTAGCAACGCAGCAGTTGAAAATCAAATCAATAGAAAAAAATTGCAAAAATGGCTTGGACAGCTGATTTGAAAAATGTTCCAGAGGGCTTGGCAGCGAAAGGGTTAAATACTCCCGCCTCCAGTTTAAAAATTGGTGGATATTTTGTTTTATCAATATTTATCAGCCCATGAATTGGATTAGCTCCATCATACATCCCCCAACCCGCCATCTGTTGTATCTGGGATGACAGAAAATATTTTTTAAATTGGGGCATGGCTAAGCCTCCTTCGTGTTTATTATTTTGTAGATTTGCTAGTTTTATCCTAGGGGTTTTCCTATGCCATACTAATTCTCGGATCAAAGTGTCTATCTTCCTAAACACTTTAGCTGGAATCCATACCAGTGAGTTTTGAAAAAAGTATAACAACTGTGGTAGCCAGATCATTTTGATCAGGTTTGCTCTACCGGTTACCGATAGTGGCAATTTACACCAACTTTTGATCTTTACCTGGAATTTTCCCAATAATGGCTGAATATTCAAAGGGACTTACTCTGCTATATTACATGATACTTTGACTCCTAGATATTTAATTGTAGATACTATTTGGATTTTCTCTGCACATTGCGGTAAAGGGTACTGAAAAGGGTCAGTTGTTAATAGCATAGATTTCTCCCAATTAATTTGAAAGCGTGAGAACTTTCCCAAACAATCTACTAGATTCATCAGGGCTTTCAATGATTGCCGTGTATCTCCCAAAAATATTAATGCATCTGCATATAAGGCAATTTTCTCCTCTCCCGTCTCTCCTTTAAAACCTATTAATGCATCTGAGTTTTTTATTTTTGCTGCTAATGGTTCCAGTGGTATAGCAAATAACAGGGGTGATAAAGGGCAACCCTGCCTGGTGCCTCTGTAAAGGGAGAATGGCTTAGATAATTCTCCATTCACACTTAACCTTGCTCTGACTTTGGAATATAGCAAGCTATATACTGTGGGTTGATACCAAATCTTTAAAGAGTTCTCCATAAATAGTCACATTCAAATGCTTTGGCCGCATCTAGCGACAATAGCTCTATTTCCCTCATTTATAGTGGGTAACTGTAAATAAGAAACTGATATTATTGGATGCTGAGCGAGTCGGGATAAAACCTGCCTGGTCTGGGTGTGTTAATCTACCAATAATCTTAGATAATTTTTTGCCAATACCTTAACTATGGCCTTAATATCTGCTGTCAGCAACAATATTGGTCTATAATATTCCAAATATCCTAGCATCTTTCTCAGGCTGGTATAACCACGATGATGGCCTCCCCCATTGACTGGCAGCCTTCCCGTTTTACTTGCTTCATTAAAGACTGTCAATAACTCTGGGATGAGAACATTGTCATAGTTTTTTTATATATATCCACTCGCCCCCTCGCAATTTTCACTCGTCAATTGCAAGGGGGTGAGTGGAAGTTTTGAGCCCTGATATATATGTATATATATATATATATA